ATAGTGAAAAAATTGCTAAGCCCCTTTTCACTAAAGGTTTGTTGCAGGTGTTATAATTTCACTCTTGTAAAATAGGAGGTGGGAGGTATAGAACAATACCAAAGGCTCATTCCAAAGCCTTAGGGAAGGGAAAAACAGGAATGAAACTGGGAACCAAGTAAAGTCAAATTCAACAGTGGGATTTTTGTGCTATTCATTTGAAGTGTGTACACAACTTGATGTTTACTCTGTGCTCATCATCCTTTATACATGTATTTTCTGAGCAGCTATCAGAACCCATTTTAGTAAATTTTTTACCCTATTTTAGTAAATGGAAAGTAATGAATACACCAGACAGTGAGGAAACCTGGATTTTATTGACAGATTTAGCATTGATGGGTAGAGGGAGAGGAAGGGAAGGAAAGAATCCTCTAGATCTGTTTCAAGTTTTATTATTTATGAAGTACATAAGCTCTTAAAACAAGAACCTCCTTGTTTTTCAAGAACTGATTGAAGGAGCACACAGTATACCTTGCTGGACACTTTTAGAACTTTAGTGGTAAAACTGTAAAGAACCTGTTGCAAATCTATCCATATATTACAAATCCCACTGTGTAAAATACATACAATTAGATACTTTGAATTTCTGAATTGTTAAGATACATGTCCATGTCTGTGCAAACATTTATTAAGGTACCAAATAGTGGCCAGCATACATGCTTTTAACCAATAATATTTTCATTTTTATTTCTTGTTTTATTAGTTCTAAGTGGAATTGATGGTACTAAATGGCCATAATCAGAGAGATGGATATTAAGTAATAAAAATATCCTTCAATATTAAACTATATACATTGTATTAATATTTATAAAACATAAATATAAAATACAATAACAACGTAAAGAACAAAAATAATATAAAATACAGCAAATGCATACAGTAAGTCTGGTGGTTCACTATGTCAACAGACGACACCTTTAGGCCCACACATAGGCATGAGTAGGTTGCCTGCTTATCCTATTCCATAACATTTCTTGAAAAGGCAAGATAAGGCCACAGCACAAAGTGTAAACTGAATAAAAGGAATTATTCAGGTTAACAATATTTAAACCAAATTAAATCAGAGGTCAGAACAATAAAATGAACAGCATTTCATATTGTCTCATATCTGCCTACAATTTTGGACCCAGAAGGTTACTTAACATATATGAGTAAAATTGATAGCTTTTCAATATTGTTCCTTGAAAAATGTGTCACCAAATGACATGGCCTTCACCTTTAAATCTGAGGTGAAAATATAGAGGTCTGTTTTTCATTAATCTTGCAAATGTATTTTGGAAATGTTGCTGTTTTGGCTGGCTGAAGTTCCCTAAATTCCAAGAGGAAAGCTCCCTTTCCTGTCTTCTGCCATAAATAACATCTTTTTCTTAATGTATTCGTCTATTCAGAACAGTTTCTAAGCCTGTTCAACAAAGCTGTCAGGGCAAATGAATTGCTCTCCCCTGATGTTTGTCATTAACAGATTGTATACTGATAGGATAATAACCTCTTTCTTCATACATGAAAGGCATTCTTGTGAGCTGGATTACAACTTGAGATATAAAAGACGTGCTCTGTGGATAACTTCCAGGCTACTTTGCACCACATTGCTCTCCCATAATTTTGTGTTTGTTATCTTGAACGAGTGACAGTAACCACCCATCAGAAACTGAAATTTATGTGAAATGAGTACCACATGTACGATGTTTACTTCAGTCTGGGCACAGCAGTGACAGATCATTATAGCCCATGGAGCTGTGTGTTTTAGACTGTGTGCAATTTAATATCAAGTACCATAACTTGAATATACAATCGCAAAAAAAGAGACGGGTATGAAAAATAAACCACTTGTCATATCATGCATCGGTTTCCAGCAAGTTTTTGGGGTGGTTATGTCAAACAAGGACTTGTTTGTTTGTTTTAGTATGTTAAAGCAATCATTTTTCTTCTAGGGTGGATAGCTATACATGTTTTTAATATATGTAAGCTATTGCTACTTGTTTAAAGATTTGAAGGAGAGTGGCAAAGGTTTTGCTAATAAAAAAATAAACTCCCTAAGTTCATTAGAAAGTACAAGTGAGGATGTAAATGACAAATAGCTTCAGATAAAAGCAAGGCATTTCAGTATCAAAATACATTTCATAAAAGCTGGAAAAGACCAGTGCTCGGAGTTCATTTGTGATTCTGCTACAACACCGAAAAGTGAAGTATAAGCCAGCATGTATCCCCTCATTCACATACACCAGTAACATTTTGTTGAGATTTAAGAAGCCTTGCTTTGAGTATCTAAAAGAGACACTTAAATTAGTAATTTACTAAATCTATATTCCTCTTGTAGTCGGCAGAAAATAATAAACAATTCGTCTTGAACCTGAATTACAAATTTAGAGTGTCCATCTCTCTCCATTAACTATAATGGAAACACAGGGAATTTGCACTCAGTTAAAGCGACTGAAGTTGTGTGTCAGTCCAGTTCTGAGCTGCGTAGGTGTCACTTCAGTTAGATAAAAGAGATTTGAATCAAAATTTCAGGCAGAAGTGGGGTGGGCAGGGGAATGTTAAAGTCTTCTTTTTTTTTTTTTCTGTCAGATCATTTCTTGCAGTGAGTATTGATGACTAACTGAGAAAGTTTTTCAAATACCTGGGGTTTATGGATCTATTTTATTTTATGGATTAAGATGTTAATGATTATTTTATGTGTGCATGTCCGTTCTGTGAATGCTCCCACACTGGAATATTTCAATTTAAAGCAGAAATATTTAGAAATATGTGGTCCCAGCGCCTAGTGAGAATTGTAATATAACTGTTTGTGTCTCTGTTGCACTCTATATGTTTTGAATAAAATCTTTTCTGTGATGTATTGCTTGTTCTTTCCAGTATATAATACAGAATATACTGAAAGCAAAGACATTTTCCTATAACATATTTTTGACACTCGTACAAAGTTCACTGTAAGAAAGCTGTAGGTCTAGCTATATAGATGAAGTTGTAGATAGATATATGGAGGATATAAATAAATATTTAAAGGCAAATTCTTAAGAATCCTAACAGGAGATCCAGTTAAGTCTTTCTGTATAAGTCGTCTTTGGAGCTCGGCATGGACAGCATCAGAGATTTTATTTCTTTTTAGCATATTGATGTGTTTCTTATGCTATGTGGATGCAAACTTGAGGGATTTCTGCTTCATACTCCATTACTAAATGAGAACATCTCCAGGCTGTTTCTCTCTGAACTTCAGCTTTTACTCACAAAATGTTTAAATTATAAATTCAGCATTTCTGGGAAAGCAATGAATTTTAACTTTTGCATGTATGTTGTTCTGCAAGTGTAAATTTGGACAGAGAATATACATTCTGATCGATTCCAGTTCAGCACCTTTTTTTACATTAACCTTGATGTAAGTCGAATACATGAGTAAGCATCTTCCTGAATGCAGAAATATGTCTGAAAGGTTGTCTTAATGAATTGTACAGACTAGGTTCTCATCTGATATGTTGTAATACAGTTTCTTTAACATCAATGATAATTTTCAGACACTGAGCATTCTTCTCTTAGTTTTCTTTTATGATTATTTTCTCATTTCACGTATATGCATACAGTGATACACCATATATGTGTATATATAATTTTGTATATACTTATGAATGTCTGAATTTTTTATGAAATAATGAAAAATAATGCATAATTTCAGATACATTTCTCTTTCATTTAGCTCTCAGAATATGATTTTATATGAGCTACAAATTGAAAGTCATCATCTGCTTTGACCAGCATATTAATAAAGTTTAATAAACTCTTTGTTCGGTAACCTTAACATTTCTATGAGCAGTTTTAAAACCTTATAGGTGTAAAAAAAAAGATTCTATATTAAAAAAATAAACAACAACAACAACAAAGTTTAAGCTGTTCTTCCATCAGTAAACAAAATTATCAACCACCAAAGAACATGCTTCGAATTTCCAAACTTACTCTTTTCAAAATTATTCCCAGAAGATTAGAGGCTAATGTACAAAACTATTCTGCTTTCTTCTGAGGTCTCAAGAATTATGACCAATTTTTTCATCCAAAACTATGCAAACGGCTCTTTACTGATTTGATGGGGAGTTTGGAAACCAATTTTATTGTCTATTCGTAGGTAACAGATACCATTACCATAATTATTTTTTCCACAAGTTTTTAAAACTTTGTTCTGAGAAAGATTTTGGTGGGTAGCCAGTTTCAGTTTCTCTGTTATATAGACCATCAACAGCTTCCTTCTTGAAAAAAGATGTTACTAATACGATTAAAGAATAAGATGTGCATTTTGTTACTGTGTTGGTTGATAATGAAATCAGTGACTCACTTTGAAGGGATGGATGGATGAATGCATCTGAAAGGAGAGATTTGATTCTGTTTTCAAATCGTGCAGAAATTGCATATGATTATATACAAAGTTGAAAAGGTATGTTAGGACAACAAAGGTGAGAAGAAGAGTTGAGTGCTCTTTAATAGAAGAGTGCTCTTTAATAAAGACCAGCTCTCTCACTCCTTCTCCTTATACTTAGAGGTACAGCAGAGATTTTGATGATGATGATGAAGTTAATATCCATCCAAACAGTTCTTTTGCTTTAACTTAAGTCTCATACTCATATGAGGAGGCTTACTAGGTGCGTATCTTGGCATTAGAAAAAGGAGTTTGAGTGCTGTGAAGAATGTTTGTACTACTGTACCACTATACCTGTGACTTGATAAAGGTCATCAACATTACGAAAACTTACCAACAGCATTCACATGAATAGAATCATAGAATCATAGAATCATAGAATATCCTGAGTTGGAAGGGACCCTTAAGGATCAAGTCCAACTCTTGACACCGCACAGGTCTACCTAAAAGTTCAGACCATGAATACCTAGTCTTTAATTTAAGAGAAGGAATTAGTATGCCACTACACATAACGTATTTACACAAATTGGTAAACTATGTTTTCTTAAATATATTCCAGATTTGTACATCTAAAAAATGACTGCCTGTTATAGATGGACAACATTTGAACTCTCAGAGGATGAAGAGCTACTTTGTCACACCAGCAATTACAGCAAATTATAAATCAGACAATTCTGACAAGCTTTCCAGCATGAGGTTTAGATAGTGTTGAACAATGCAAGGAAATAAGGCAACTCTACACAGAATTTACTCTGGATTACCCTGGATTATTTACCCTAAAGGTATCACAACACAGAACACACTGCTTCAAGCAACAACTAAAATGCTTATTAAGTTTGAGTCATGCATATAACTTACTCATAAGGGCTTGACAATAACATTTGCACATAGAGGCCAAAGAGTTGGTGTCACACCCCAGTTTCCTGTTCTGGTTGCTCTTCTGGGCAGAGAAAATGTATGTCTGCTTACAATCTTGGTTGCTCTAAAGGCAAGGCTTATTTCAGTAAAAATAATTCTCGCAAATGTCATGACAGTTTCTGTGTGCCTAGGGGACAAGTGCATATGTAATTATGTGGCTTACGTTCATACACAGTGATTGCTGCACATTGAATTCCAAGTGAGTGCAGCTCTGAGCACTTATTCTTAAAAATCAAGATTAATTTGGGACAGTGAATAACCCACCTTAAAATGTACAGATTTTACAGGCAGACAGGAATTTTAGGTAATCTATCTGGTATGTCTTCTTTGGTAACTCAGGATTCATAATTTAATTTCTTTTTTTCTTCATAAATGAAGTATTTTCTATCATAAATGGAAAAAGGAGTTAAAAGGATTTATTATTTACTATTATATAGGAGTTAAATGCAGATTAAGCAGAAACTGAAGTATGATTGCTGAAGGGTTAGTTGCTTGAAGAAAAAAAAAAGTATTAAAACAAAACGAGTGCTTTCCTTATTCCTAACTCTGTGCTTGTTACACATAACTGACTGTCATAATTGCCTAAAGAAACATAGATAGCATCATAGTTCATACTGATAAATTATGATTTGTAAACAGATGTGCATACCTTCTTTCAATCTCATCTCTCCTCAGACTGTGAAAAACTGCCTCCTCATTAAAAAGTAATTGTTTAAAATCAGTCTGGTTTTGGATGGGGTTCACACCAAAAGTGAGAATTTGTTTCAGAACATGAATGTTTTACTTCTTTTATCTAATAGATTCACAACAGATATATATGGATTTTCTTCCAAAAATAGAAGAAAAAAAAAGAGACATCTCAAACCAGACTCTAGAATGTGCACTAAAAATGTCACCTCAATTAATTTCATTTTTCGTTTTCACCCTGCAACTCTGAAGAAAAAAGTTGAAATAATGAGTGAAAAAAGTGGAATAAAAAGTGGAAAAAATAAGAATCCCAATTTTACCCTTATGAGACTCCCAATACTATCAGTGGAGTTCTGCTGTGCACGGGGACTAGGAGTTCAGCCCAGCACATCTCCATCTGAACACTGTTATGATTCAGAAGAACCATGCCCTAAATAATTTTTAATTTTTCTAGAACTGAGCTTCAGTGAAGATTTTATACTTCGAGTTTCTGTAACCCTTGGCCACAGTATGCTAACCTCTCCCTCAGGCTAGTCCATTTTTTCCCTTGTCCCTCCCTACATCTTCATGCTTTTCTGGCTGAGGTCCCAGGCACATGGTAATACTCTGCCAAATCCAAGTTCAGAGCAAGGACATATCTCACTTCCAAAAGAAGAAGAACATTTCAAAAGAGGAGAGAATCTTATACGAGGAACCTCATCCTCACAGAAAGCAAAGACAGTTGCATGAGTAGCGTCACAGTAAAAATAGTCTTTCCAGTCTAAAACACCTGCTCTTCAGGATTCATACAAAACATTTCTAAACTGCAATACCCCTTCAAGTCTTCAGGGGATTAAAAAAATAATAATAATTAAAAAAAAAAAAAAAAGAGTAAAATTGTGTTTTTGCTGTAACTCCACAATGAAGAAACTGTACAAGAAAATCTAATGAAGTAAAATATTGTGATTTTACAGGTAAATGTTTTAAAATAATAAAATACAAATAGAAGCTACATCCAAATCAGTATTAAAACTCTCCCTGCCCACTCTTTGATTTAACCATCTAGATTTGCCAGAGATATGTCATTTAGACATAGTATTAGTAATGTTTGGTGTGGTGCATTTTCTTCAGCCAAGTCATCTTTTTGCTCATGTTTCTTTATAAGGTTCAGTTCCTTTTGTTCAAACAAATGCTAAATTATACAAGCACAGTATAATGATATTTTATTGCAGAGAATATCACTGTTATTTAGCTATAAACATTCTTCCTTCATGTTTAACAGAAACCAATTAATCAGAAATAGGGCAAAGCAACAATCATGTTTTATGTTCTTGTCAATATCGAGAGCTTATGCTGATAATACATCTGTGGCTAGTTGCAGGATGCACTTACATCTGTTCTGGCCTGCCCAAAATGTACCACTGCTGAGAGGCTAAAGATAGAGTCATGCTGAGCTGCAAAGTACGATGTGCTGGAGCAGGTGGAAACCAGGATTAGAAGGCTTTCGGCAGCCCTGGGAAAGGCCCAGCTCTGAGGCATGTCCAGGCAATAGATGCAAAAGAGGACTTTATTTCCCTTCTCTTCAGGGAAGCCACAGAAAACCCTACTGCTGCTTCTGGATTTGCCAGGGTCAACACAAAGTTTTTGAAGTGTGAATCAGCATGTTGTGGCCTCCACTTGCTTGCTTTCCTCTGCTTCTTTTTAGCATTCCCCTATTGACAGTCTAAGTATCCTAACAGAAGTGAAAACTCTCTTCAGAGTCTCAGCATGAACTAGAATTAGAGAATCCAGAGAGATCAGTTATCCTGACCATTGTTCACACTCTGGCCTTATCCCAAACTCCAGCATCACAGAATCACAGAATTGTCTAGGTTGGAAGAGACTTCAAGATCATTGAGTCCAACCTCTGACCTAACACTTACCAGTCCTCCACTAAACCATATCACTAAGGTCTACGTCTAAATGTCTTTTGAAGACCTCCAGGGATGGTGACTCAACCACTTCCCTGGGCAGCCCATTCCAATGCCTAATAACCCTTTTGGTAAAGTTTTTCCTAATATCCAACCTAAACTTCCCCTGGCACAACTTTAGCCCATTCCCCCTCATCCTGTCGCCAGGCACGTGGGAGAATAGACCAGTCCCCACCTCGCTACAGCCTCCTTTAATGTACCTATGGAGAGCCCCCTTCCCTTGTGCTCTTGCTGCTGGCCTGTTTTGGAAAATGTACGATTATTTTGCCTTGTGGATGATGATATGATGTGAATACATCAGATCTGGAGGTTATTGATTAAAAAAAAAAAATAAAAATCTTCTGCCTAATGCTAGCCTGAACTGGATTCTTTCTCTGTCCATTAAGTCATTGCAAACAAGTTGACGTCCAACTACTTCAAGGAGTGTTTAGTGTATTGAATAAAGTCCTTCACTGGTCTTTAGACCTCACTAATGGAAAGGCAGCTGTATGATGCAGATGTTTATTTGAACTTTTTAAAAGCATTGCCTTATTTGGCAACATTATTCTTAGCTGCTGTTTAGACTGAGTACAAGATCAGAGAGAGAGCTAAGAGCTGCCACACCTAGTGCTTCAGAATGAGTGAGCAGTTATCTGTCTGCATCCTTTCGAAGAGATATACATTGAATTCTCCCTGTGTCATTTCCCTGTTGAGTCATTCCCTTATTGCTGAAACAGTTTCTTTTGCCTTTTGAACTGCCTAGACCATATTTCTTCTTGATAGATGTGGTGTACAAAGTGCAAAAGAGGAAATAAACTACTACAATGTCTTTGCATGCACAAGGTAATAAGGCACATGCTGATCAATGCACTATTCACTTACAATAGAGTGGTGACAGCCATTTGAGGGTTAGATGAGGGCATACTTATGTATATCCTAAGCATTCTTAATTGCTGCTATTAGGTCATAAAAGAAAAGGCAGTCTGGAGTTCTGCAATTTTTCTACAAGAACCAAGAGTCTAGAGTCTGATGTGCTAGTCAAAATTCCCAGCTACTTGACACTCAAGTAATGGATGTTTCAAGGAATATCAATAGCCTGAGAATCCACATGGATTCATCAGAGGAGTGCAATAATGTTTATTTCAGTGTCAGAAGGGATCTTCTTTCTCTTTACTTCTTCAAGAATACTAGGACTTTTTACCTTATAAATCTGATTACAGCGCTTTTTCCTATTTTTTTTTTTTTTTTTTAGGACAGAAATATTCCATTGTTCAACTTCTGAGACATTTTTGGGAACAAAGAGGGACACAGAGGGTAGAAAAAGTGCAGAACAATATTGCACGTAGCATATGACTCCACAGGGTAGACACTAGGGCTGTCATCAGAAAATGCCATTTCCTTCAGCATGCTAGAAATGGAATCAGTAATTTTCAGATGAAACACTTTCTGTATCCAAAAGCATAATTTGAGGGCATTCTATTGAATGTCTGAATTCTATCGAAGTGTTTTGGTCCATAAAACCTGCTGTCAAAGCATGACGGCATATGACCATGTTCTTTTGCAGTGGGAAAGTGAGAGATTAGAGCTCCCAGCTGCTGTGTCTTGGTGCACTCTCACGATGTAAATTGCATTGTAGGGGAAACCTCTAGCTTGACAGCACTAGGAGTTCAAACTAAAGGACATCCATTATCTTTCAAGTTTCAGCCTTGACAAAATGAATCTTGGAATCATGGGAATACCAATTCAAGTCAAGACTTACAATAGTCTTCATGGTTTAACACAGCTCTGATTTTCAAAAAAGCTTAATTTTTTTTTTTTCTTTTTCCCCTCCGTCCTTCTCCCTTCTCCCACTTACTTTTAAAGAGAAACCAAGCAAAGGAAGAATTCCCACAGCAGCCTGTATATTGATGCAGAAAGGGAAGAAGGGATCCAAAAACAGGAAATATACCATTAGTGCTAGATTGATAGACATGCATCCTAGAAACCCATTAACTTCCTGACTTTTAAATGCTACAATGCTGACCTTGACTCAAGGCTCAGTGTGACTATCTCCCTCTGTCTTAATACAGCAACCATACCTTCCATGAGATATGTATGGATAACTGAGGAGGAAACTGAAGTGCAGGGCAAGATATACACAACTTGCCTGAACAGAGAAAAGGTGAGAATCACAGAGCAGCATTTCAACCTCTAGCTTCAGTTTCCAGATATTACCTTCTAGGCTTGCCCTTACTATTTTTTCCCTTTTTCAGAGACAAAAGTGAGAAAGATTATTTTATAACAAGACCATTGTTTAGAATGCTATAGGAAAATAGTAAATCTTTTTCCCCTTCCAGATATCTAGAAGGGCAAATATTTGGTTTACAAATCAGTTTTGTCAGTCATTTTTGTTTAGTCTACTGAGAGTGCATCATTTAAATCAAGTGAGAGGTCAGTACTTGAATACAGTGGGATTTTCCGACCAGACTTGCAAAGAAATGCAAGAGCTTCTGTCAGACTTGCAGTATAAACACATTAAAACTTTTCTGAACACCCCTGAGGCAAATGATAGTATTTTTTAATATCTAATCTTTATTATCATTGTCTGTGACCAAGCTAATCTTCACTCTTTCCAGATTAAAATTATTATAACTAGATATATCCTTTTGTTTCTGGTATAACAAATTTGCAAGTTTAATTTTTAAAAATTAATTCCAGCAATTCTATTTCAGACTGTGCATTATGGACAATTTGTAATCAGTTGCAAAAGATTAGACCCTGGGCACACTTAATGGGGATGTTTTAATAGTGCAGATGGCAAAACAGCCTGTGGAAGCAGGTCTGGTGGGCATTCTGCAAAAGCTAATTCAGTCAAAATTTATCCAAGATGACATAATGTACAATTGCTACACTGGGAAACTCTATTAAAATTTCACACATTTAAATCTCTCCCTTCTCTTTTAATTAGAATTTTCCAAGAGAAAGTAGAGGCCATGTGTACCTTTCTGAACCCAACAGGAAAGGTCAAGGATAAACAGCATGATGCATGAAGTTCCTTTGTGCTCAACATGTTCAGGTTAGGAGGAATGTGTTAAAATGATTGTGTAGAAGAGACATGTCTGGGAATGAATTTTCATTGTGAACCAGCAGTGGCACTGGGATGTTCTGCCTGCACATGTACACCCACCCACGCTGCCTGTTACATTATTCAGTGTGTGTATGCAGCTCTCCTAGGCACTGCAAGGAAAGTGAATTACTCTCATTGTTAGGCTTAAATTCTAATTCTCCAAAAGACCTCAAATTTTTATATTATTCACTATTGAATTTTACAGGAACTGCATATGAAATTGCTGAAAAGGAGAGTAGAAAAGGGTTAAGGATTTTACACAGAATTTGTATAGAAAAGGGCAGAAGTAATCTACCTTTATTCTGATATAGAGATTAATTTCCCACCTCTTTACTTCTGGCCTGACTTTTCTTCTGACTTTTGTATTCCTTACCACACAATGGACTAGCTTGGGCAAGAGATGTGGAAGGTGTGTCCAGAAAACTCTTTTGAAAACCACTCTTGAAGAAAATGTGGTGACTGAATTGGAAAATATGGGTCTGAGCTTGCTAAGAGTGAGAATGGAACCCCAGTTTAGTACTTCTCACACTAGTTCCCCAGTCATTAGGTCATTATCAAAAGTTTTTGATTGTCTCCTCCCTCTTATTCATGGACAGTGACTTTTTGAATGTATTTTCTGTACTTGCAAATTCTTCCTGGATTAGGATACTACCTTTATGAACAAAGATATCTATGCATCTCAAGACTCCTAAGCAATTAAACAAGATTCTTAAAACATTATTGGAGCAGAGCTTGTAAGTGATGTCTGTTGCTTACAGTTTTTAGAGAAAAGTGGGGTTTTAAGTACCATGCATATGATTATCTACTAAAACTACTGTTTTCATGCCTCAAGATTTCACAGAATCATGATAAGAAACCAGTTAGTTAAGATAGGACCCACTTCTTCATTTCTGTTCATTAAAAAAAAAAATAAAAAAAATCCTTTAGGAGCACTGTGTAAGTGAAATTACCTGATTAATAATACAGCCCATAATGCTATAAAAGGTGAAGAAAATGCCATAACTGTTCTTTAGGGAATTAGACTAGATTTTTATTTATTTATTTATTTATTAACTCTTGGTAGGTACTTAGCACACTGTAGCACACCAAAAATAAAGGCAAAACATCTGATTTCATGTACAGTGTCAAATCTTATTGGGATGGCTTCAGAGCCAAACAAAAATCCTGAAGGGCAAATATTTTATGCTGCTTCTTTGCTTAAAACCTTCATTGCAATATCCAACTGAAACATAGTGCATGTCTATAAATCTAGCTTCTCTTATCCAAATAAAAGCACTGTAAAATTTCTGTTTACAATAATCCACTTGATAGGCATTACTTCATCAAAGTAATGCTATGCTGTGCTGTTTCAAAAGGAGCAGCTACATATTCAAGTAAGATGACAGACTTATTTTCTGTCTTTTTGAAGACTATGTTCCATTTATTAATAATTACATTTACTAAGCTGTTAAACTGCCAGCAAAGAAGCTGCTGTTAGGTAAAGGAAAGTAATTTATGGTAAATGTAAAAAAGAACTATTTGTAAATTCATCAGGCTAAACTTGAATGAGATTGTTATTCCTGTGAATTTCTATTCATTAGAAAAAAAAATAATAATAAATAAATAATAATAATAATAATAAAACATATCTAAAACTTCAGAAATATTATAAATCACACATGAAGGAAGCCTGGATAGGTCAGTTCCAAAGCATGTTATTTCAGAAAAATTTTATGCCCCACAGCATATTTCATCACACTAATTTAATCACTGGAAGTTTGCTCTGTATTGCAATAAAAACGATGACCCATTTCCTAGGACTGCTTGCTTATACTAGGAAATGTTTTACTTCATCAGGGGAAAAAGGAAAAAAATTGATTTGTCCTGAACTTTTATGCACAGCTTCCATAAAAGTGAGGCCAAAGAAGTTCAGTTGATTACTACTCTATTAACTGAGAATGTAATTTCCATTTGTTTCCTCACCCAGTTGCTCCTGTTGGGTGGTATCCTCTAATTTGATGCTTGAAGGAAAACCTGAGATTTTTCTGCAGGCTGGCATTCATTGCTTTGCATATACTTACAGAATCCCAGAAAAAGCCATAGAATGTGTAACACATAAAGGATAACAAAGAGTGCAGAATATCCTGTTTTTATGGGCATGTTCTACCCATCAATCTGTCAGTCTGAATCATTTCTACAGCTGTGTGAATAATTCACAAGTGAATCATTCTGCAGTGATCTAATTTTTCTGCTTATGAGAGATTTCTGACCATTACTGATATATTTATTAGGGACATATTTTAAATTATCCAGTTAATTATTACTCCCTAATTTTTACAGCTTGGTCATGAAAACCTCCTGTCTGTACAAACTGTGGATTAGCCTTCAGTACCCTCTCTTATGCTGAATAGAAGCTTTCTGGGGGATCAAAAGTGTAGCACACAAAAGGACTATTCAAACACATCAAACTCTGTTCAATGTTGTATTTGTTATTGTACTTGTATTTGTACTTGTTAGATGTGATTGGTCAATAGATTTGTACAAAATTGCTACAAATATCTGATTGGGCGTCTGTGTTGACATTGCCAGTAGTAAATGTTCATTATGTATAAATGTTAAATGCAGGTTTCACAGACAGTCTAGCCAGCTAAACCTATCCATACAAAGTGCTTCAGAGAATGAGCACTTACAGGAAACAAAGGGGATGTAAGCTTGATTCATGTGAACTGATACATAAAAAGGAAAAAATATCTGAAAAGATATCATTGTCCCTCTGTCACTGTCAAAATCTTAAACATGTAAAGTTATAATGCTCATTTACTGATATGTCCTCAAAAACATATATAATCAATTACTTAAACCCGTAACATCCCTGATAATGTAGTACAGCTTTTCTATATTTAGGCAACATTAAACATAGAAAAAATGAAGTGTTCATATTAGTCAAGGTCACATAAAGTCACTGAAAAATTAAGAAATTAAATCCATGGGGAGCAGGTGCAGATTCCTTATAAATCTAAAGACTGACTGTATTTTCTCAATATGCTCCACAAGTATCAAAACCTCATCCAAGTTTCATATGCCAGGAATGGATGCAGATGAAAACTGGCAGAATGATCACATTTTTTGTCTGAATCTTTAAGTTCAGTCAACCTTGAAGCTCAAAATAGTTTTGGTGAAGGAGTTACTTTTTTTTTTTTTTTTTTGATGATGATGATAAAACTGTTCCAATAACTCTTACTTAAAAACCAAACAGTTCATTGCAAATCTACATAATTAAAGTTACTCTTAAGCACACCACTAACCATAAGAAATGAATACCACTTTATACTGTTTTGAGAACATTTTAACATTTAAGAAACTTACATGGAAGTGGGCTAGCAAACTAAAATACAACCATAGAAATAAAAATGATACCTTTGTGACATAATCTAACGTTCTTGGACTTGCCACTCTGAATAGGGATCTTGAAGAATGAAACCCTCCTTCCTTATTAAAGCATTCATTTCTGTTAGTTAACATCCTTCAAGGGTCCTCCTATTTCAGTACAGGCTTTCTTCCAGGCAAAAGTACCTGTGATCAAAATCAAATGTTAGAATGTTCTAAAAGCTCTTGAAGTAATAGTGAATACACACACACAAGCCAAGTTCTAAAACTAGATGTCACAGGCACGGGTTCACTGGGAATTTGTTTCTTGAAACAGGATTCGATATACCAAAGTCTCCTGGAATACATGTATATCATCTGGTTATAAAGCAGCTGTCACTTAAGCACTAGCTTGTTTCACAGGCTGCAATACAAGGGGAGAGGAGGAAAGGGATGAACGCTCGGTGATTTGGTAGGTCTGGTGTCAATTAAATTGAGAATGCTTTATTGAATAACATTTATTTCTATAATGCAACTTTTTGCTTTTATTGTTATATTATCCTAGAATCATAGAATATCCTGAGTTGGAAGGGATCGAAGAAGGATCTTAAAATAAAAGAATGGTTTGGTTGGGGGGGGGGGAAAGGGACTTTAAAGATCATTTAGTTCCAACCTCCATCATGAAGTCCAACTTCTGACTCCACAGAGAACCACCCAAAAATGAAACCATGTGTCTGAGAGCATTATCAAAATGTCTCTTGAACTCCAGCAGGCTTGCTGCTGTGACCACTTCCCTGGGGAGCCTGTTCCAGTGCCCAACCACTGGCATCCAGCTTATATTTATGTAAAACAAAATACTGTCCTGTCATTAGAATCTGAGTGGCTTTTTTTTTTTTCTTTTTCTAAGGGTTTAACTATAACTATCTAGAGTTTAATTATAATCTATCCATAAATTGAAATTTAGCGTACCTATTAGAATAGAAACACAGTTAAATTCTGTAAAAGTTAGCTGCCATCTGGTCGTGCATGGACACAGAGGTCTACAAAAACAGGTTCTAGTAAAGCACATATATACACATATTTTATTTATATATATGTTATTTACGTGTATATAAAATATATGCAAAAGGAACAAAAGCATTTTGAGAGTTTGAGTGGCCTCAGCTGAAAACACTAAGTCAGTAATTTTAATCTCAAGACTTCCAAGCTCAAGTTCAGTTGTATTCCTAGACCATGTCCCAGCCCAGTCCTGGGATGAGATCAGTTTGAGATCACAACTGGTCCCCTTGTGATCTGCACAGTTTTCCACGGAAAGGATTGGCATTTAAAGTGGCTGGAGTTTCCATAAGTCCGTGATATAAGCAAACGAAGAACAAGCAGGAGATATACATATATACTGTATCAACCCACATGCTGATCTGTTACTTGTCTTCTCACAAGAAATAGTTTACAGAGGTAACAGTCTGTGCTTGTTTAGGTTAGTGGTGAGAGAAGTGTCACAAAATTTGCTGCTACCAGACAAGACTGGTCACCTTTGGTTCAATTAGGGATTATCTTTATCAGAACGGTAAAACAGACAATGACTAATGGTTTATGAAATCCACCACAACAGTTGTGGTTTCTTTTCTTCTTAACACAGGTGTATTTGTCTTATCACTGTAGTAATTAATAAATAGCTTCCATAGCCACTTTCTGAGCAAGAATAATTTTTTGTTGTTGTTTTGTGTGTGTTTTTTTTTGTTTGTTTGTTTTTACAGATTTTCCCACAGCAAGGAATTCAACAGGTGAGATTCATGTTGCTTTGTCTTTTAGCTTTAAAAATGGTGTTCCCACAAGTCCCTAGTGTTTCATTTGAGATAGGTATTATGGAAAGACCCCAAGTAGTCATCCCTATGCACATAGATTATATATATATACATTTTTTCCAAATTCAATTATCTCAATCCGCTGTGCCTTGTAGTCAGTTTGTGCTCAATGTTTCATGGACTTCTCCTGACCCTTGTGAGACACAGTAACATACCTATTGATCACAGAACAACCTAATTTAAATTAATTCTATTTCAGAGTAATTACCAGGAGTGTTTAAGAACTATGAATTCTTGATAACAGTAAAATGAAAAGCTCTTTAAATTTCCAATAAATATACTACTTATATTTAGTGGAAAAAGACTTACATGTTAAATCTGTATCATACAGTTATTAAAAGCACATTTCCTGAGAAAAATAAGTGTTTGATTTATTATATTAATATCAAAGAAAAATTTGCATGACATGTCCCATATGTCAAAGGCAACAAGCTATTTCAGATCCTGGGGCCTGACCAGAGAAGGGATTCTCTGTAAATACAGGGATAAGTCCTACTCCTCTGTACTGGGTAAAACCATCACATCCCCTGAAGTCAGTGAGAGTTTTTATAGTCCTCACAGAGAGCCAGAATTCACTCCAATATGTAAAAACTCTTATTTTCAACTAGACTGATTTCTATTATATTCTTCCCATTTTATTCCTGCTGCTATTCAGTCCTGAGGTGCAGGTGAATCTCAAAGTATATATTTCAGAAACCTACTGAAAATCCTAAACCTCTAAAATCCCATGGAAAGCAATAGAGAGGATAGGCTGAGAGTGTCAACCTTAGCAAACCTAGGGTTAGGGCATGGAAACTGACTGCCCAAGGACAGTGGAAAATGGAAGAGGGTGGATTCCTTTTATTTACAGAAAGTCACTTGGAGAACCCACAGAGGCATTGGGCAAAAGCTGAAGCAATGAAGGTGTTGCCAAGAAGCTCCTGGTCAAGCCAGGCCCCAGTGCCACAAATAAGAAGAGTCAAGTATGAGTGGTCGGAGATTATGAGACAGGGCATTACTAGAAGATCAAAGGAAGAGAGTGTTCCCCTCTGTTAGGTAATTCTAAGATCACGTTTACTTTGTCCCCCAATACAAAATAAATATTGACTAATCGGAGAAGGTCCAATGGGGGGGATATAGAATGCATGATCCATAAGGAGGGAGTGGGGTTTGCTTGATTAAGGGGGATCTAACTGAAGTCTTCAACCACCTAGGAAGGCGAATCCAAGGGAAGACTGAGGCAGACATTTCTGGCTATAAGTCATATGTTGCAACAAGAAGCATTTGGACTATGTTCTCAGTCATATGGTCTGAATTCTAATTTTTGGGTAGACCTGCGTGGAGCCAGAAGCTGGACTAGATGATCCTTGTGGGTCCCTTCCAACTCCGAATATTCTATGATTCTATGCAAAACTCTGATCAGATACAAGGAAAATAATAATAATAATAATAATATATAAACATGGATATGCAGTAGAAAAGTTTTCCTGGAAATGCAGATTCTCCAACACTGGATATATTCAACAGTCAGTAACACCTGTCATAGTCTGATCTAACTTTGAAGTTATTCCAAATCCCTGTTTGGGGTTAGGCCTAGAGACCCCCAGAGATTACTACCAACCTAAATTTTTATGTGGTTCCGCATTCCTGTAATACTACATTGACCAGGATTTTCTTTATACCACCTCTCTGAAAGCAGCTTGGAAAATAACAAAATTAATAGACAAAACAAACAAATAAGAAACACTTGTTTGAATCTACTGACTCATAAATATGCTTTATTATTATAATAAGCAAAAGAAAGATTGAATCTGTGCTTTAGAGAGTCAATAAATACTTCCACATTTCCTTTTTGTGCATACCTGAAATTTTACAGTAACTATAGTTATATCCACTGAATAGAAAGGTCATTAGCCATGTTTATTGTTTGGTGGTTGAATGTAAACAGACAGCTATTTTTAAAATAATCAGATTTTTTTTTTTTTTAAAGGCATATTAGAGGTATATTCTGAAACTGCTGTTTGAAAAACTGATGCATATTTACAGGGATTAATTTTATGAAATGTTGCTATCTGCCCTCCAATTTGCCAGACTTAGCACTGTAAAATGCTTTCTTTTGTATACTCATTTAAAAGCCTTCAGGGGATTCACAGAAAGCTGAAAGGAAGGAGAGGGCATATTATGCACAACAAGAAGTTTAGAGCTTTAAATCACAATGAGGGAAGAGCCAACTCATTCAGACCCTGAAATTCAATTGAACATTCACCTAAAGTATATGGTATGGTGGTTTTACCCTGCTGGGCAGCTGAATTCCACCACACCCACTCTTTCATTCCCCCTCCTCAAAGGGAAAGGGGGAGAAAATACGATAAGAAAGGCTCAAGGTCTGACATAATGACAGGGCAAGATCACTCAACAATTATGATCACGAGTAAATTAGACTCAGCATATAGAGATTAATATAATTTATTATATAAATTTATTACCTGTTACTAACATGCCAGAGTACTGAGAAACTAAAAACAAACTAAAAACACCATCCTCCCAGTCCACTCTCTTCTACCTCCTCCCCTCAAGTGGTGCAGAGGAATGAGGAATGGGGGCTGTGGTCAGTCCCTAACACTTTGTTTCCGCAGCTTCTTCACAGTCACTCTCTGCCCCTGCTCCACGTGGGGTCCCTCCCACGGGATGTCGTGCTTCCAAACTGATCCTGCCCACAGGCAGCAGCTCTTCAAAAACTGCTCCCAGATGGCTATGTACCACGGGGTCCATCTGTCAGGAGCAAACCTCTCCAGCACAGGTCCCCCACTGGCGGCAGCTCCCCCCCAAACCCCCTGCTCCTGCAGGGGCTCTCCATGGGCTGCAGCCTCCTCCAGACCACATCCACCTGCTCCCAGGGACTCCTCCATGGGCTGCAGGGTGGAGATCTGTTCCATGTGGGACCCATGGGCTGCAGGGGTACTTCTGCTGCACGCCTGGAGCACCTGATGCCCTCCTTCTGCATTGTCCTTGGGGTCTGCAGGGCTGGTTCTCTTACATTTTGTCACTCCTCTCTCCCAGCTGCAGTTGTACAGCAGTTTTTTGTACCCCTGCCCCAAATCTTCCCTCATAGAGGCACAACCAGTAATGCTCACTGGCTAGGGTGTGGGCAGCGGTGGGTCCCTTTGGAGCTGGCTGAAACTGGCCCTTATAACACAGGGCAGCTGCTGCGCTCTTCTTACAGAGGCTGCCCCTGCAGCCTTTTGCTATGAGGCCCTTCCCCCATAAACCCAATAAATTAGGGAAAGTGAAAACTTGGATAAAACTGTGTAATATGTAAACTATAGAGTAGCACAACCTTTAATAAATATAGTATACCATTCAGTGAAAATTATTTTCAATAAACTTGGAAATTAGGGGTCCTTAAAATTTGGGGGTTTAGCAAATGATCCTGCATGCAGAGTCCTGTTTTTGAAAATTTTGATCAAAGGAAAAAAAAAAGTAATAATTTCCCTTTGAAATGAAACCATTTTTCATTAAAACAAAAATAAACACAGAAAAACTCTACCTTTCTGTCAGAATTAGCTTTATTTTTCTTTAACATCTTTTTCCAAACTGTTGAAGTGGAAGAAATGAAACTACTTAATTCTAGTTTCCCTGCTCTTTTCAGATGCCAAAATATTGATAGGATGCCAGTGAAAAGTTAGTCTATTTTATTTTACAGGCTATCAACTCTGTCCATTTTATAGACACAGAGAGTCAAGGAAGAGCAAACTTTTAACTTCAAGCTTGAGCAAATAAAATAAATTTTCAATCAAGCACTATAAACTTCACTTGTCCTAATAGAGCAGTTAACAGAAAGAATGTGAATCAAAGATATAAGGTTAAAAAATTATTTCTGCCACTTTCCTTCACTCAGAAGCACTGGTGTGTGAAGCCAAGCTTTGGATATTGGCTGTGTGCATTGAATTGGCTAATGAATGAAGTAACCCAAAAAGAAGATTGACCTGATTTTGACTAGTGTGTGAGACCTCTGCTTTAAAACTGTCATTTATTTGGCAATTGTTGGCATTTATTTTAACTAAGGACATCATAAATAATTACAATGAATGATTATGAGTTATGGATCTTAAAAGTATATTAGAAACTTCAGTATACCATTACTCTATTCAATGTCATATCTTTTATATATGTTTTAGAAAGATATTCTTCAGAGACAAAAATATCTAATAATAGCTAATTGTCACAGGATGAAAATTACTGTGCAACATAACTTCTATTTATACCCTTGAAACCATTCCTTTAAAATACCACTTTTAAATGCCTGTAAAACATGGTGTCAGTCTTAAACATCAGTCCCATGGTGTCACTTCATGATGTGTCAGTCTTAAATCTAATTTCAGTATAATTCCGCTTTGCTCAAAATAGTCTTTATATATATATACATATATTACAATCCTCAAAAGTATATCAATATTATTATTTATATTACAGTACTGCCTAGAACATGAGCCAAGAACTGGGCCTCAGTGTATTAGATTCTTTACAAGTTACCAATAAAGGGATAGTTCCTTTGCCAGAAACTTATACAGATAAGAGAGAGAAATGTTTACAAGAAAGGCATTATTATCATCATCATTGAAGGAAAATTCAGACATAGGCAGATTACAAGTTGATACTTAGGATCATACCAGGAGTATGAAATACAGATCTTCAAACTCTTGTACGCCATGCAAGCTTTCCCAGTCATTCCAGAGAAATATTTCATTACCTCTAAATTTAAAGCTGACCATATGGCAGAATTTTTAGCTTTCTTGTTATCCTCAAGCCAAGGGGAACACACTTGTGTTAGTACAAATAGCTATGTGATTACTCATGGAAAGTAAGGATAGGGCACCCACATTAGGCATTTTTGGAAGCTTGCCATGTTCAGTCTAAAATAACAGCAGACGCTCTTCACT